GCAGAAGGATGACCAGGAGGTGACCAGCAAAATACCCCTTTCGAAGCCTCAGTACTGTTCCGTAGTGAGCAAAGACACAGCTCCTCTACGGATAAAGCCATTAATAGTCGATCCTGGCAGGCAGAGTGCAGATTCCTTCGAATCAGAAATTTGAACTCTGGCCAATGACTGCTGTACTGATTGAGTGAATCTTAGGATTTGTTGTTAATGGTAAAGTAGTCTACAAAAACAAACAGTCTGAAGGAGTTTGAGAGGGTGTGGGCTCAGCTGCAACCTCTCCTCCCAAGGCCGTTGGTCAACATCATCTCCAGCCCTGTGGAAAGACAGAAGCAGTGAAGAAAATGTCGGACAAACATTTGGTGTGTTTGTACACTTCTCCCAGAAATCCTACATGCTTTGCATGTTTCAGCTAATTCATTAAAATGGATTATGCTGACCATTTTATAACCTACTTCACTGCTCTCCTGTCTAAATCCATCCCTTTGTGACAAATTTTTTACACTTGGCTCATTTTTTCAATTGTGTTTGCTGTCTTACTCCCATGTAAAGGATAAACGTGCATGTTAATGTTGATGTGACTGAGACAGCTAATGCTAAATATGTCTCTGTTCCTTGAATGTTGACTTGTGATGGTGTCATTTAAGTCTCTTCTTTTTCCCCTTGAGTCAGCAAAATATTCCATGTTACTTTGAGCAAAACTTGCTCACTAGTGTTATGGAGGGTATAAAAGCAAATGGAATAAGTTTCCTGCCTTCAGGAGGATTGAAATCTCAAAGTCGGTATGACAGCATGGATGGGAGTCAGCTCAGTTTGCAGCTTTTAAAATATGTTGGAATCTTTCCTCTGCCACTTTTGATGGTGAGACCCTGAGCAAATCATTTCCACAAGCATCAGGATCTCCATCTATGACATGGAAGTAAAAATAGCAATCTTGACAAAATTGTGATGACCACAGTCGTATACCTAACCTCTTATTTACCACCTCCGGATAGAAGATATTATAACTCATCCCATTTGAGAGCTGATGGTGATCACCCCATCCTGTGAGATTCAAGTATCTGGAATCCCCCATCTTCAGGTGAAGAAGACCCAGCAGCCCTCACAATGTCTTCTGGAAACTGGATTTTGTTTGAAGGGTGAACTGACTCCAAGTTTCTTCTGTTTTCACGTATTGTCCTTCCTACGTGTCTCCTGGGGTTTTTCCCTTCCTCCCAATCTACATTAACCTGATGATAACAGCCAGCTATGTTTTCTAGAATTCCCCTAAATTGACTCATGCCAAATACTGAATACAGTAGATTGGGAGGGTTCATTAAATCACGATAGAGCATCCTAAAGAAGGAAAGTAGACACCTTTGTTCTTAAGGGGTCTTCAGCCATCCCACCCTGGAGAAGGTTGCTGATTGCCTCTTCTCCTCGGGCAGTCTTGTTACTATGCATCTCTTTTTTTTTTTTTTTCTGAGATGAAGTCTCGCTGTGTCACTCAGACTGGAGTGCAGTGTCATGATCTTGGCTCACTGCAACCTCCATCTCCTGGGTTCAAGTGATTCTCCTGCCTCAGCCTCCCGAGTAGCTGGACTACAGGTATGTGCCACCACACCCAGCTAATTTTTGTATTTTTGGTAGAGACAGGGTTTCACAATATTGGTCAGACTGGTCTTGAACTCTTGACCTCGTGATCCATCCATGTTGGCTTCCCAAAGTGCTGGGATTACAGGCATGAGTCACCGCACCCGACCTGCATCACTTTTTATGCCTCGTCTTCATCCTTACAGCTTCTCCTTCCTAGTGGCCTCAACTCCCAACCCCGGAGTAAGGGTCACAACTGTCCATTTTCATGCAACACAGCTTAGTTCCCCTTCTTCTCCTCCCCACCATGCCCTATGGGCTGCTTTTCTACAACTAGAATGGAGACCTAGGGAGATCTGCTAAACTAAGACAGTGCTCACCCCTGGGAGAAAAATCTACGTCCCAGTTCTCAGTCCTGCTAAACTATTGTTAAGATCAAGAAGGACCATGATAAGTCCTATTGGCTAAGAGAAGAAGAGTCTCCAGGTTGCCATAGGACAAGAGAGGAGGTGACAGAATCTGCAGCCATTTGGTCAAGTATGTGAGTCATTTTGAGGAATACGTTAAAATTCTGTAGTCAGATCTTGGAAAATGATATTTCCAGCAGAGGGAATAATGTTACAAAAAACCCAGGCAGAAAACAAATGTGTGTGTGTGGAGAACAATAATGTGATGTGAATGATGGGTTCGGTGTCATGAGTGAGAAATGGCTGACCGAAAGTAGGGAGATGAGGGGAGGAAAATACCACAGGAAGACTGAACATCACATTAAGTGATTTAGGTGATTCTGCCTGCAGTGCAAATATTTTGGGCTCTGAAGTGAAGTCATCAAAAGGTTGACGTCTGTAATGGAGGATTGGTCTAGATAGCCTCTCAGATCCCACTCGGCTTTGAGATCCTTGATTCCAGGTCACACCTGCGGGTCTGGAGGGCAGTTCTGCAGGGTCATGAAGGAAGGATTCCTGGAGGCTGGAACACGAAGGACATTCAGGTGACCACATCAAGACATCAAGTGGGGTAACAAAAGCCTGAACTAAAAGGAATGCAGTAAATATGAAGGAGAAAGAGGAAATGGGAAACTTATTAGAAACGCTAAGTAGAGAAAAAGGGGAACGTGTGATTCCAAGGTTTAGAATAGTATTTGTAAGTTATAGTCCCACAACTTCTTGCATAAACAGTATCTAAGAGAGTCATTTTAAGAAGAATAGCAAACTTCCAAGTTCCACTGAAAGACATCAGCATCTCTGTGGAGTGAATTGGGGAAAGAGGATGAAGAGGTCTGTTCAACTTTAGACACACAAAATGTGAATTGAATTGCATGAGTGACAACAACAATGTGAAGATATTTAACAGGAGCTCTTTTTTCTCTTTTTGGTCTACGGTATTTAATCCTTCTATCATCATTATCGTCCTTTCTCTAATTTGATGTCTTTGAACCTTTATTCAAAAATCCACTACGTATATGTAACATGTTTGTCAGATTATTACTAGACCCTGTAGGAGGTTTCATTAACCCAGTTTTCTCTTATTATACCAATACCACACTATCTTGATAGTTCAGGTAAGTCCTCCACCGTTTTATTCCAAGTTGTCTTAGCTCTGTTGGGTTCTTTAAATTTCCGGACACATTTTGGAATCCACTAGTTCATTTCTACTGAAAAACAAAAATAAAATCATGCTGTGATTTTGATTGGAATTGCATTAAACCTCTGATCCACAAGCGCAGAACTGACATCTTAACAATATTGAGCCTGCTGATCCATGAACACATTATATCACTTCATTTATTTCTTTAATTTATCTCAACATCACTGCCTGCTTTTCAGTATATAGATCTTACACATCTTTTGCCAGATTTAGTCTGAAGTATTTCATGTTTTGATGTGCTATAAATATTGCTTTGTAAATTTCCATTTCCAATTATTTCTTTGCCAGTGTATAAAGAGATATTGTTTATGTGTTTAGCTTGTATCTTGCAAACTTTCCAAACTCACTTATTAGTAATTTATTATTATTAGTTTTAGTGGCTTTTTGTGATTTCAGGAGATTTTCCACACAGGTGATCACGTCACCTGCAGATACAGATAGTTTTAAATCTTATTTTCTAATAAGGGTGCATTTTATGTATTTTAACTTGCCTTATTGTACTGACTAAATTCCAAAACAATGCTGAAAAGCAGTGAGAAAAAAGTCATCAGGTGGGATGGTAAATACAGCCCTTGTTCTTACATTTTGATCTGAAGCACCTAGTGTGATCATTTTCTCATTTGATTTTTGTGACGAGTTTTTGTTTCCTTTTTTTCCTTTATTTTTTAAAAAGACACTATCTTTTAGGCAGTTTCACCTTCACAGAAAAATTGAGGGAAAGGTGCAGAGTCCTTCTACATGCCTTCCTTTTCCCCATGTGTACAGCCTCCCCCACTAACAACACTCCTGCCCAGAGGGAGCATTTGTAACAATTGAAGAACCTACGTTGACATATTGTCACCCAGAGTCCACAGTTTACATGAGGGCTCCGTCTTGGTGCTGGTTCTATGGGTTTGAACAAATGTGTCATGACATGTATCTACCATGATAGCATCGTACAGAGCAGGTGCACTAAAATCCTAAAAATCTCCGTGTTCCACCTCATCATCTCTCCCTCTTCCCAACACCTGGGAACCACAGATATTTTCACTCCATAGTCTGGCCTTTTTCGGAATGTCCTTTAGTTGGAAGCTTAGAGTATTTCAGAATGTCCTTTAGTTGGAAGCTTACAGTATTTAGTCTTTTCTGATGGGCCTCTTTTGTGTAACCGTGCATGTTTAAAGTTCTTACATGTCTTTTCATGGCTTGACAGCTCACTTCTTTTCAGTGCTAAAGAATATTCCATTGTTTGGATATATCACAGGTTATTTATCCACTCACCTAGTGAAGAACATTTTGGTTTCTTCGTTGCCTCCAAGTTTGAGCAATTATGATTAAAGCTGCAATAAAATTAGCAATTTTGATTAAAGCTTCTATAAATGTCCATGTGCAGGTTTTTCTGTGAACACAAGTTTTCAACTCTTTGGATAAATACCGAAGAGTGCAATTGCTGGATCACATGTTAAGAGGTTATCTCGTGCCCATCAATGATACACTGGATACACAAAATGTGGCACATATATACCACGGAATACTATGCAGCCATAAAAAAGAACGGGTTCCTGTCCTTCTCAGGGACATGGAAGAAGCTGGAAGCCATCATTCTCAGCAAACTAAAAGAGGAACAGAAAACCAAACCCCACATGTTCTCATAAGTGGGAGTTGAACAATGAGATCACATGGACTACGGGGAGGGGAACGACACACACGGGGGCCTGTTGGGGGGTGGGGGCAAGAGGAGGGAGAGCATTAGGACAAATACTTCATGCATGCAGGGCTTAAAACCTAGATGATGGGTTGACAGGTGCAACAAACCACCATGGCACATGTGTTACCTATGTAACAGACCTGCACATGTATCCAAGAACTTAAAAATTTAAAAATGAACAATAGGGAGTATAGTTTGGTAAGACAATGTGATAATTTTACAAACACAAAACATGTCATACCCACTTCCCCACCTCCCTCAAGTGCTTTCAACAGCATCCTATTGCTGTTAAGAGAATAAAGCATCTACCATCATTTCCTAGCTCGCCCGCCTTCATTCTTGTCTTGTGCCACTTTCTCCCATGCTTACTTCCTTGCACGTGCCTGTTTCCTGCTGCAAGAGGCATTCTGCACGCACCCCCATCTCTGTTTAGACCGTGGTGTCCCTACACTCCACCCCCCCTCAACAATCAACCTCTACTTCTCTCCAGACTGCAAGGGGATCATACCTTCCAGAATGCATCGGTTTTCTACCTCTCATCCCAAGATACGCCAGATTCTTTTACAGCATAAATTTAGAGAACCCCACTTCCCTTTCTTTGGTGCGCTTTCCTCAGTTCTTCATCACAAACCCATTAGAATGAATGTCATATTAGTGCCCATTCTCCCCATCAGGCCGCAGGTTCGTGAGAGCAGGGGCCACGGTCATGTTGGTGAACCATGGTATTCTCAGTGACTATCCATGTGCTTAGAAAGTATTTGCTGAATGAGTAAATGGGTCTGCAGTTCCAACCAAAGCTAGAAGCTTGACTTTGGAAGAATGAAAGTGGATAACATCTCCAAAGCAGACCCCATAGCATGAGAAAAGAAGGGAAGAACGGAGGCAGAGCTGAAGGATGAATATCGGCACAGGAGTAGGTGAGAGTTCCAGAAATGCTGGGTTTTCACGTGTTTTTATTTACCTCATATCTGTGTTTCCATCTCTGTATAGCGTAACTCTCATATCCCTCTCTATTTCTACATTTCTTTACTGACCAGGACAGAGGTGGTGCATTGGACACACTACTAACCAGCATACTCTCTCGGACGTGCAAGAAAATGTAGAGAAAACAATCTAGAAATGGTATCTCAGAAGAAAAAAAAAATCAAAAATATGAGAATAAATGTGGGAAAAAAAAATCAATGTTTAAAGACAACTTCTCAACATATTTAGGTATCTCTGGGACCTAAAATTTCATCAGGACTCCCCACACTTCTTTTTACATTGCTGTGTGTATATCTGTGTGTGTGTATTCAAAAGAAATCTACAAAAAAAAAATGGTATTGCTAGAATTTTACATTGCTGTGTGTATATGTGTGTGTGTGTGTGTATTCAAAAGAAATCAAAAAATAAAAGAATGCTATTGCTAGAATAATGCTACTACAGGGGAGAAAAATGTAATCTTTTCTTCCACCCATCTTAGCTTCATTGGCTGGGGTTCCTATAACAAAAGACAGATGAACTCCCAAAAAAGCAAACGGAGGCTTATTAGCATGTATATTTCATATATACATGGGAGATACACAGGGCATGAGGGAATCTCAAAGAGACAGCTCAGACCTTTCTTTTATATAACATTTTCAACAAGGATAATAAATGTTTATAGAAGTGCCAAGACAAAGTAAAAGGACTTTGGGTCATTGGGGGCAACAAATTGTGGGAAGGCCAATAAATGAGAGATGTGTAAATTCCTCTGGTGCTGTTTCCTGAATGATAAGGGTCTGAAGTTGTCTGCAGAGATTGACCTGCGTCCTTTCTGGCAGAGAGGGGAGAAAGGGCACTTTTGTTTTTGTATAATATGATTATGTTGTGTGCTTTTCAGAAACTAGAGGGAAGGCCAGAGTGCTTCTTAATTGCCTTCAGCTCAAAATATGTTAGCATGGTGTGTTTTATTCTCTGCACTGTTCCTGCTGCAGATATCTCTAAAGGCATCAGTCGCATCCACAGCACTACTTGTGGGGAAATATTGAGTAGAACTGAATCAAATGTATAATTCAGCCCCACAGAATCTCTGAGCCACAGGACAGAGAGAACTGCCCGGGAGTCAAAGCAGACACTGAGCAGCTGACATTCTAAGAGTCTTCTTCCAGTAGATCAGCACATAAACTCAAGTTCTTTTCACAGATTTGTCTGTGTTTCTTTTGTGGAAGAAAACATAACCCTGTAGCTAAAATGTCTACTTCACAGTGCACAAAAACATCTGGAGCCTTAGCCAGAAGCAGCACAGACCCAGGCAGCCTGGTGATGTCCGACGGGGAGAGCCCACAAGATCCATCAGCATGTGGCCCTGCGAGCCACCACCAGTAACATATGTTTACATGCTAATGAATGTCAGGCTCATTTAGAACAAATTTGCATCCATCAAAGTCAAACAGCGAGCAGAGCAGCACATTTTCCTGTGTGTCAGTGGCCCCTGAGATACTGGGGAGAACTTGAATTGCCTGACCCCTTCAACTTCCAAGCATCCCAGAGGGAAAATGCAGACCCCAGGAAAGGACTGTGCTGGAAACCATTTGTTCTTACAGATATCCGGAGTAGTCTTTTGACTGACCCAAAGACTCCCCTCTGAGGGTGGGGGAGACCTAGGTTAGGGGAAGGTGAACCGTGCTGCCTTCAAAGACCTTCCTTCTAAGGGAGGGTGGGGGAAACCCAGAGTAGGTGGAGGTGAGCCATGCTGGCAGGAGCTTCCCTCTAAGGGAGGGTGGGGGAGACCTAGGGTAGGTGGAGGTGAACCGTGCGGGCAGGATCTTCTAAGGGAGGACGAAGTGTGCTTTGCTAGACTCCGCGCTTGAGTCTCAGCGTGGCCGACCCAGATGGGAACAAGTCACTTCTATGATTCTGGGTGTCCTCATCTGTCATGGAAGGTTTGGTTAGATGAGCTTAAAGTCACTCCAGTTGCAAAGCTGTGTGACTTGTAGATACATGCCAGTGTGAATGACTCACTTCACTTCTATGAGTTGCACAGATAGCCAGGCTTCTCCTTGTATCAGTCAGGAGGTCCCAGAAGACTTTGTCACAGGCAAAGAGGTGATTAAAAGGAGTCACTGATGGGATTCTTTGGAGATCGGTGGGCGGGGCCCAAGGGAAGTGAGAATAGCACTCCCCAGATCATGGGCAAGGGATGCCTGGGGAGAGGCTGCTAACGTGGACAGGCATGAGTAAGAGAGGACTGAGGACAGCTCCTCTCCCTCCTCCACCTTCTACCTGCTGCCAGCAATGAATCCAACCAGCAGCCCTAGGCCAGGCCAGGCTCCCAGAGTCAGAGGCAGGAAGAAGCCAGGCACATGGAGAAGCCACAGGTCCCCACCAACACCAAGGGTGCAGTAAGAATTTTGATGGAAATATTTAAAAACTCATTCGACAACTTCCTATCTCTCCAACCAGCCTCTACATATGATTCCACCTTTTCCAACTCCTGAGCCATCCTCAGGGGTATCACAGGGGTGGGGCTGCCTGCTCTGCCGAGGTCCCGAGACCCTCCAACCTTCGGAGGTCTGGGGTCCCCTCTCCCCTCCCTGGCAGCAATTGTCTTCTCTGCTGTCAAATGATCACTTCCATCCTCCCACAACACATGAGAATTTAAGACAGGATTTTGGTGGGGACACAGCTAAACCATATCAAAGGGGGGACCTGGGGCTACCTCATGGGGCTCTGGCATGAGCTTGGGTGACACAAGTTATAAGATCCCATCTGCTTCAGGTTTAATTGCATATCCCAAGATTCCCAGGTTGTAGTCCTAACCAAGGACCTCAGAATGTGTCTGTATGTGGAGACAGACCTTTTAAAGAGGTGATTAAGGTAACGAAGTCATTAGAACTGATGCCCTTGTAAGAAGAAGATATCAGCACAGACATCTATAGAGGGACACCGCATGAGAACACAAGAGAAGATGCCATCTGACAGTCAAGGAGAGATGCCTTAGGAGGAGCCAGTCCTGAACTCACCTTGACCTTGGAGCTCCAGACTCCAGGACTATGAGAAATACATCTCTGTCTTTTCACAAAACTGCCTGTGGCAGCCCAACCAGAGCCATGCGCCATCTTTGGTTCTCAGAAATTCCACTTGTTTGTATGCTCCTGGATTTTAGGAGGCCCCTGGATGACCAGCATGTGGCTAAAGTTAGAGAAGGAGTTACTTGTGAAAGAGAGCCCCACACATCTCTGAGCGGACACCGTACAGCCCATGAGATATTGGGTGTAGTATCATCCTCTCTTCCCTAGGATATTAAGAACAATATCACAGGAGGGGTGTACAGCCACAGCCCCTGCGTTACTGGGAGTAATAGCATCTTCTCCCCCTCTCAATATAAGGAACAATATCCCAGGGTGAGTGTACATCCCCTGTGATATTGGGCATAATGTCATCGTCTCCCAATGCGGATATTGGGCATAGTGTCACAGGGGGGTGTATACCTTCTTCCTTATCGGGAATAATATCCTGTCCCCTCAGGATTGTAGGCAAAATATCGAAAGGGTTTTACAACTCGTGCGATATGGGCAGTAATATCATCCTCTCCCCACCTAGATGTTAGGAACTCTATCACAGGCGGCCGTACATTTCTTGCGATATTGGGAGTCATATCATCCTCTCCCATCATGGATATTAAGAACAATATTACAAAGGAGGTGTACACCCCCTGCCATATTGAGAGTAATATGCTCTCCCCTTCGGGATATTAGGAACAATATCGCAGGAGGTGTGTACAACCCCTGCGATATTGGGAGTAATATCATCCTCTCCCCCTGAATGTAAGAAACAATATCACAGGAGGATGTACACACCCTGTGATATTGGGAGTCACATCATTTTCTCTCCCTCTGGATATTCAGAACAATATCACAGTGGATATGTACACCCTCTGCGATATTGCCACTAGTATCATCGTCTCCCTCCCAGGATAGAGGGAACCATATCACAAGGAGGTGTACACCCCCTGCGATATTGGGAGTGATATCGTCCTCTGCCTCCCAGGATATTAGGAACAATATCACTAGGGAGTGTACACCTCCTGCAATATGGAGACTAAAATCATCCTCTCGCCCCCTGGATATTAGGAACCATATCATAGGGGTGGTGTACACCCCCTGTGAAATCAGAAGAAATATCATTCTCTCCACCTTTGGATGTTAGGGACAATATCACGGGGGAGGTCTATGCCCCCTGCGATACTGGGAGTCGTATCATCCTCTCCCACCCAGGATATAAGGAACAAGACGACTGAAGGGATGTATACCCACTGCCATGGTTTCAATAATGTCATCCTCTACCCCCTGGCTGTCAGGAATCACATCATAGAGGGGTGTACACTTTCTTCTATATTGGGAGTGATATCATCCTCTCCCCGCCGGATATCAGTTACAAGTCTATTATTAATATTAATAAATATAAGAAAAATTAAGAGTAATCAATATTAATAATCACAGTAAAGATAGTAAAATACTTTTTGAAAATGTTAACGATTAGCATTAATAATCAATAGTAATATCACTATTAATAAAATAATGATATCAGCAATTAATGTTACTTAAATCAATACTAAGAGATGCTGGTAATATAACAATATTAACAATTATTTTAAGCATGCATAATCATATATTTAAAATAATTATCCATAATAACGGTATCCTATTAATAGTATCATTGATAATTGTTAATATCGATCATGGATGTTTAATAATTAATTATATTACTCCTAATACCGCAGGGGGTGTACAGCTACCTGTGATGTTGGTCCTAATATCCA